ATTAAAAAATTGTTAGGATTTCATATACTTTTTCATTTTAAATTTGATAATCGCACTTTATGTCAATGTTAATGCGCTAATTATTGATTTATTGCAATTCTTATCATAATCACATTATACATGGTCATATCGTTGCACTTCTTGTACCAATCATTGCACTTCTTGTGATATTCACGGAATTCAATACAAATTATTCATTGCACACGATCTTCAATCGTCTTCAACCTAGGGTTCATGTTCAACCTTGGGTTCACCTTCAACCTCGACCACCTTGGTTGAAGAATCTGAGTTGTTGGAGCGGCAGTCCAACACCATTCTTTGAGAACATTAATTCTCAACCCCAATTTCAAGAAATACAAAACGAAAAAAGGAGAAGGGGAAGGAGGCAACCATGCGGCGGGTCTGCAGTTGGTGAGCGGCGGCGAGCGATGGTTGTGCGGCCGCCGGCTAGATGGCGGACAATACATGGACGTCGTGCAGCGCCTTGGAGCCCAGGTCGAGCGGACGATTGCACTAGCTATCGACGATTTACACCAAGATCGGAGTTTTGTCCAAGGCGGCGGCGTTAGACGGTGGGTGGCAGCGCTGGACTGTGGGCGGAGACTAGGCAGAGAGCGGCAGTTGGGCGGAGGGGCGGCTGCGTGAGTGAGCGTTGGAGGTTGTATCTAGGGTTGTAGAATATGAATAGGAGATTAGGGTTTTATAGGGATAAGCTAAAGGGTATTTTTGTCCATAAAAATTATTTATTAATTATTAATTACGAATTTTAATTAATTGTTATGAAATGTAATATTATTTTTGGAAAAAAACTAGTTAGGTCCTAGATTGGGAAAGTGAGAGAGTTTTAGTTATATGGGGGATAATTATATCTTATAAAATACACAGATACCAGACGTTTACCAGACCAGACCAGTTCAAACCAAACCGGGCCAGACCAACAAATTTCAGTTCAAAAGAAAACATCCTCCGTATATTTATATATTATTTTAGTTAGGTGCATTTATTATTCACCTCTAAAATTTATAAAAGTTTTTCATAAAATTCTTTCCACTTATCATTTTGAGATGTCCTAAAAAAATACTACGTATTTGAATTTCTTATTTTTGAAAATCTTGCATGACTAAAATTTATTTACTCTCTCCGTCCCGCAATTAAGTTCCTGGTTTGACTTCACACATATTAAGAAAATAAATTTGACTTTACTGTGGAGTGCACTATTTGACACTGTTTAAACATTGTTTGACACTGTTTGGCACTATTTTGCAATGTTTGGACACCGTTTGACACTGTTTTGCACCGTTTGGCACTGTTTTGATGTAGATAATTTGCCAAATAAGTAAAGTATTGAAGTGTGAACTTAATTTAAGGACTGCCTAAAAAAGAAAGTGGGAATTTAATTACGGACTGAAGGAGTGCATTTCTTACTCTTCAATCATACATTTTCATTTTGTTCATACTTTAATACCTGACTCATAAGTACTAAGTGTCTATATTTCAAAAAAAAAAAGTACTCCGTGTATACGGTAGGACTATGTAAAGAGAAATGCTAGAGGTATGTCACGCCCCAGACCGCATCTGAGCGCGTGTACAACCGCCGTATGACTAAATGACGTCACCCACGAGTCAACGTGACTTAGTCAAACAAGGCGTCCATGAACATAGTCCATACCATACTCAGTAAGTAAACATACATAACAACATCACATAATAGGATTGAACGAATAGCGGAAATATTCAATATTCAATCGTGGGCCACACATGGCCAAAACGTAGGCACGCAGGCCCAAAACAAATGTATTTATTACAAAATATCCATGAGCATAGTTTATAGTTTAAAAACAATAAAGGAAGCACGAACCACGTCTCCCTCTAGATCACTTCACCGAGCAAGGTGGGAATGACAAACTTGAGCTTCAACCTGAAATGGTGGGGCCCCCCGAAGGGGTCAGTACAAGTACCGAGCGAGTAGCAAGCTAAATGTAGAATAACTAACGTTTCAAGTATAAGACCCAAACATAGGGTGATACATACACGTATAGTCTTTCCCCCAAGTTTTGAAATACATATTAGTATATATACACTTGGAAATACCCGACCCGTAGGTCATTGTTTATTTGGGAAAATAGTAGAAGCCAATGTCCTTGACTTAAATCCCAACCCACCCATATACCTATGAGTGTATAGAACTCCTCCTTGTTCAAATAAATTATCATAAGGACACCTCCCGGCCCTAGATCATTAAATGTAATCTATGAATTTTGAGGATACACACCCGATCCTTGGGTACTCCAGCCTATAACCGAGTTTTGAGGATAACCGCCCGATCCTTGGGTACTCCACCCTATATAACCGAGTTTTGAGGATAACCGCCCGATCCTTGGGTACTCCACCCTATATAACCGAGTTTTGAGGATAACCGCCCGATCCTTGGGTACTCCACCCTATAACCGAGTTTTGAGGATAACCGCCCGATCCCTGGGTACTCCACCCGACCTATGACTTACCACATATCACACTAGATAGGGTCTATATCATATTATTACTAAAGACTAAACCAAGTCTTAGAGTTAATTCAATAAATATCAAACTTGACATTTAAATATCACATTCCATGCAATTCCATGCATAATATACTTATGTAGGATGGTCGAGGTTAATCCCCCCTTCGAACCGGACCCGAACCGCATTTTTGAGCGAAAACGGATTTTGGAGGCAGCAGCTTAACCGGCACCGGTTATGCCCGGGACCTTGGGTCAACGGCCCATTGACCCCCGAGTTGACCCCCGAAACGTGTTCCGTTTGGCCCGAAATTTTTATACAACATATATCATGTCTAAAACAACAAATAAATGCCATTTTGGTCATCCAAAACATCACAAATGTTTTTATACATTTTTCATACTTTTCACATGCATAACCATGTAGTTTCATTCACATAAGCCTAATTACCTTGGCTAATTACATGTTTAAACTCTCTTGAACATCATTATGAATACTTATAACATTTATTTAGGTAATCTCATACTTAACCCAAGAGTTATAAGACATTAAGCCGTCCACTCACCTCGAATGAGCGTTATGAAGTTCTACCCTTCTCGGTTGAACTCCGGCGAACTTTGACGGATTCCGGCGATAACTCCGGTGACTCTTTCAACTTCGTGAAAGCTCTTAAATCACCCTTGACAAGTGCCTAACAAGGTTTTATCATAACAAAACCCATATCAAAACAAATAACCTATAAAAGGTTATTTTCCGGTGAACCGGTCTCTTTGGCTTCTAAGTCCGTTCTTGGACTTAGAACCACCTTTCAACCCATTGTTCTACACTTTGGGTATGTAGAACCATCCTAGGGGTTATTCATATGATAAATATCTCATATGGTAGAAGAAAAAATAAAGGAAAATTGATGATAAGGTTAATTTTCACACTTTTTCCTAGCTTTCTCCTTCTATAATCTTCTCCCTTGAGCTCCTTGCTTGTTTGAGCTTTCTTGGCTATGGAGATGGAGGGTTTTCAGAGCTATTTCTCTCTCTCTTTGGGGGCTGGGTCGAGCTAAGTGATTGGGGGGAAGGTGATGTGTTTCTTTTTGTCTCAAATGTGAGATAATTGGGAGGGGAGGTCTACCTAGGGTCATTCCTACACCAACCAATCACTCTCGCTCAATATACACCACTCCCCCGTGCTATGCAGCTCCCCAAGTCAACCATCTAGCACACAAAAACGTGGGGTGGCCCCCAGGTCATCCCAACTTGTCCCGGTGTGTACAATCGACCCCGAAAGTTGTATTTCTCGGACTGTTTTAACTATATTTTATTTTATCGGGTCAAATAAAATATATTACATGTTCACAATCATTATGGATCTTAAGAATGAATATACATTCCCCAACTTTAAATTTTAAGTCTCCGAAATTCATTTCGGACTGTTATCTGAAAAATTACCAGTACTGGTAATTGGGCTCTGTTTGACGAACCGGTCAACCCAATGCCTTTCTTATGGCCCATTATGAATGTCCACCACCATATAACTATTATCTATATCAAGGTGAATAAAATATGTGGTCTCGGGAAAATCGGGTGGTCCCCGCTCTCGGTGTGGACCCCACGTGCAATTTACTATTCACGCAAATGAATTAACAAAAATTGACAACCTCGTAAATCCATCAACCATTTCCTAATATTCAATACATAATTTACATAAAAGTAAATATACTTGAGGACGGTGTTACAAGGTACCCCAAAATGGGGTACCCCATTTGTACCTCACTCTATGAGTGGCTCACAAAACCCCAACTCCACAAAACAATTGCCCCATTTAAAGTCATTGCTTTTCTTTACCACAAAATTAGAGAGGGGTACAAAATGAGGTATAGAATGGGGTAGAATTTTTCCTATGTAAATAACATCAAACCATTCAAAACCATTATCCTTGTGATTAGTGAAAATAGTTACTCCCTCCGTCCCGCTATGATTGTCGCATTTTACCTTTTCGGTCCGCCCCACTAAGATTGTCTCATACCTTATTTGGTAAAATTTGTGTGGTTCTAAATCATTCTTACTTTATTCTTATTTTATCAATTTAATATCAACCACATAAACCCACTTTTATTAATAACCATGTGACCTTCTTTTGTCCCAAACTTAGGGGACGGGGCTAGTAAAATATTACTCCCTTCGTAACATTCATATCTTCCCACTTTCCTTTTTTGGACGTAACATTTATATCTTCCCATTTCTAAATCTTCTTATCATACCTTCAATAATTTAAAAAATAATACACTATTACACCTACTTTTTTTGGATTTATCCTTCATTCCATCATATTATTTCACCATTTTCCCATCATATCCTCAATAATTCATACCTTATTCCACTATTCTTAATCTCACTCACTTTGGAAGTGGGAAGATATATGTGATACGGAGGGAGGAGGGAGTACTCCATAGATTCCACCCACAATAATTTTGGTAGCTCAGACCAGCGAGAGGCGGTCCCACCCTAGGGACCTTATCTACCATTTCATCTGCCTTTCCATATTCTCCCATTCATCTCTCCCGATCAGCCGTTGCTTATTTCTGTTTAAATTTTAAACGCGAGAAAAAAGGAAGGAGACAGATTCACAGATCGAAATCTGAGCAAAAATACTGCGACCCGATTCATTTCGGATCCATCTCCTAATCGGGCGATGAAGACCGGCACAAAGCTCATCGTTCTCCACCCATCACTTCAAAAACAGGGCGTCTCTGTTCTGCCTTCCGCTTCTCACCGCATCCTTGTTCTCGTTTTCGTCGCATTCTTCGGTTTCGCCTTTGCCCTCACTCTGTTTTCCGGCAAAGATGCCGTTCCCGGAGCCGGCACCGACTCGTCGGCGGCATCGAGGTCTCAGTTACCCCAACCGGTGATCGACGCGCTTCTGCACTACGCCACCATGAATACCACGTCGGTGGCTTCCCGAATGTCGCCCGCGGAGGTGGGCGCCGTCGCGGCGGCTCTCCGGCGGTGCGGAAATTCCTGCAATTTTCTGATTTTCGGGTTGACCCACGAGACAATTCTGTGGCATTCGCTGAACCCCGGCGGCCGGACGGTGATCGTCGACGAGAGCGCGTACATGGTGTCGAAATTCGAGGAGAAACACCCCGGAATCGAGGCGTACGATGTCCAGTTCACCACCAAAGTCAGCGAATTTCAGAATCTGTTGAAGCACGCGGAGGAAGAGGCGAAGAAGGATTGCCGGGCCGTACAGAATCTGCTCTTCTCCGACTGCAAATTGGCCATCAATGATCTCCCGAACCACATATACGACGTCGCTTGGGACATTATCCTGGTGGATGGGCCGCGTGGGTATCTGCCGTCTTCGCCGGGGAGAATGTCGGCGATATTCACCGCCGGCGTACTGGCCAGGAGCAAGCGAGGCGGCGCCGCCAAGACACAGGTGTTTGTTCACGAGATCTACAGAGAGGTCGAGAAAATGAGCAGTGAAAGATTCCTCTGCAGGGACAATATGGTAAATTCGTTGGAACATTTGGGGCATTTTGGGGTAGGAAAACTTGAAGAGAAGGAATATAGATTCTGCCCCAAATCTGAATCGTCTTCGTCTTCGTCAAGGCCGTCAATGGCAGAAAATTGAAGAATTTCGGTGCCTGGTTATTTCCTTTTTCTGTTACTTCTTAAAATTACTCTCTATGCTATAAAGTTAAAAATCTACCTTTAGCAAAAGCTGTAACTTTCTAGGTTATCAAGAATGAAATGTTTTGCCGAGCTCTCCTGTAAAAGACAGTAGAAAATGGCTTCATAACAATTTGTCGGTGGTGATGGGTTCACGTCGTGTTCCCCTCGATATGCGTTTCAATACTTATGTACTGTGTAGAGATTAGCGAAATCATGAGACCTTTTTTTGTCTGGAATCATTGCCAAAATATGAAATGTGATGGTGAAAGAATGAAAGATGTATAGTTGAGTCCGGTGGCATTGTCCCTTTAAAAGCTCACATTGAGCTTCACTCGCATTTGAGTAAGAAAAAGTGTATATGGGGTTTTTTATGTACGACTAAATTATTTTCTTCTCAAATAAGTCAATTTGTTTTGTTAAGTTTTTATTTTTGTTTTATTGTCTTTATAGACTTAAGTAAGTCATATTTGAGGAAAAACATATTTAGGATGTTTTTAGTTTGATGGAAATTTCTATTGGTTTGTTTCAATGGTTTTTGAGAATGTTTTTACTTGGACTGAGATTGTAACTATGTATTGAAATGTCTATTCTTCGTGTAACTATGTATGTTTGTTCTGGTCGGGTCTAAAGTGGTTTGATTTAATAGATATTAGTCTTAGGGTGAAGGGCAAAAAATGACATTGAGATTTTTAATTAATCTCGGATTGGATGCTTTGGTTTTTAAGAGACCAAATTAACACAAGTTAAACCTATTCGGTGCTTTTCAGCCACCCAAGTAACGTTTCCTTTAAACGACGTTTGCCTCAAACAAAGACGCCACTTTCATCTTCTCCACGCTCAGAACTCTGTAAAAAGAAGATATTTGAGCCTGTGTTTTAAAAGCATAGCAGACCCACCATTTGAGGATGGTGTTCAAAGGCCGAATCTCCTCTTCCGGAAAACATGATACTTGCAGCACAGATGGATCCACCAATAGCTTGCGCTCTGTCTTTCGCGATAAGAAAACGGCGAAGTCTGGTATCACATCCAAGGGCAACGACTCTCCCAGGAATTTGTCTCGGGCTTCCAATCCAGATGCTAGCTTGAGTAGCTTCAAAGATTAGAAGAAGCTCGCCGATGGCAAAGATTTCACGCCCAGAATTCCTAATTGGCTCATTCAAGTACAAGAGTAAGGGAGGAATTAGGATCTTCAACTTAAGAAATCAGAGTTTGGAGAGGTGAAAGAAGCTTTGTTTCATTCTTCTCCAATCTACCAACTTCACCAATTTTAGCTTCTTCCTTAGGGTTACATAAGATTACGTCATCCGGGTCGTTGCCTCAGGTTGGGTATAGTCGTATAGAGATAAGGGTGGGTGATTTCACTGATTTCGGTGCTGGTCAATTGTCTATGATAGAACTTGGTGCTCGGATCGACTTCTGCAATCTGCTGTTGGTCTAGCCCAGGTGATGGAAGTGAACATACAGTCCGATTTCCCACTTACCAAGAAGTACTACAGCTCTCTACGCGAGGAGAATGGTATAGATAGGCGGAGGAATTCAAAGCGTAGTCTGACTTCAGCAATGGTGGACAGGAGAAGCAAAGAAGAGTCCAGGTGATAAGCAGCCGACCTAGTGACATGGAAAGAAGAATAGTAGTGTGGACTGTAGAGGAGGAAAGAAAAACAAAGAAGGTTCTGGTTGGGACTTGGGTGGATCATAGGAGCACTTTGGATAGTGTGTGACAAGGAATCCAAACTTTTCCTTTTCCATTAATAATTTGTAGAAAGTATAACCTTATCCCATGATGTTTAACAGACATGTTTAACGGAAATGTTAGTGCATGGTTAAAATGCACCGAATAACGTTGAATTTGTATCAATTTGGTCTACTAAAAACTTGAGTGTCCAATACGAGATTCGTTAAGTGTTATTTTTGGCCCTTCTCCCTTAGTCTTATACTCCGTATATATTTTGTAATTCTTTGAATGGTTTTACTTAAACTGAAATTTGCTGGTCTGATCTGGTCTGTTTAAGTCTGGTCTGATCTAATTTGGTCTGAACTGGTCTGATATGATCTGGTAAATGTTTGATCTATGTGCATTTTATAACTACGGTAGTCTGGTCTGATTTAGTCTGTTTAAGTCTGTTCTGGTCTGATATGGGGGACTGATAACCGTCCAAATAAAAACACGCTAAGCCTCATTCAAGTCTGTCCACCGTACAACCGGCTATAAGGTGAGCATCGTACAGCCGGTGGCATTTTTGTAATATATTGTGAAAATCGCGATTTTCTGCTAATTGAGTATTGGTGTACTGTTAATGAGCAATAATCTAATTTTACTGAGTATTAAGAGTCTAATAATGAGTACCATGTTATTACAAGAAAGCTGATATCACAACTAAAAAACGGTGGCATTTTTGTAATTTCAGTAAAAATTATGGTTTTCGTTAGATGAACATTGATACACTGTTAATGAGCACCAATCATATTTTACTGAGTATTAAGAGGCGAATAATGAGTATTGTGATATTAACTTCATATATTGTAATTCACTTTCTTTTTCTTATTTTATCTTTTATAAAAACTCATTAAATTATATCTATAATCAACTTTTATAAACTTTAATATGCGAATTTAATGTAGTATGATACTTTTGAAATATGCATTGATATGTCATTTGAAAATCGTAAGGTTTGTTAGTTGGACGTCATGACATTTTCATTGACCATCAAACCTCCTATATTGAGATGAAATTGATGGTTTCTGTTAAATGAGCATTAATTAACTTTTAATTAGCACTAGACCTGTTCCGTTGAGTATTAGGAGTCTAATATTAAAGATCGTAATCTCTGCTTAATATCTTCTAATTCACTTTTTTTTCTTTTATAGAAATTTACATCTACAATCAATTCCTATGAAGTTCAATATGTGAATCTAATGCAATGATACATTTGAAATATACAAGTACATTGATATGGCATTTTTAAAATGAGCATAACATCAGTATGGATTGAGCATATGTAGCTTACAAAATAAGCATTAATATGAAAATAAAACTTTTTTAGTTGAGCATCAAGACATATTTCATTGAGCATTAAGCATCCTCTATTGAATATTAGAAGCGTGCAATTGAGTACCGATTGAGCATTCTTAAATTATAAAATCAGCATTAGTATGAAAGTCATAAGTTTTTTTAGTTGAGTGATCATCAAGACATTTTCATTGAGCATCAAATTTCTTCTATTGAGTAATAGAAACATGCAATTAAATATCATGTTCTCTCATATCTGTAATTAACAAAATGAGATAACTTTAAATTAAAAATAATTTGTAGTAATTTGTTCTTGAATTACAAATAAATATTGTCTTGTTTTTGTGATATTTATTACTCATGCACATTTATTTTGCACTATACTCATTGTAGTATAACACGAAACTCATGTTAGTAATTAGCACAAAATATTTAATAAAATAACAAGTAGTCATCTTAAAATTAAAAATAGAAGAACAAAACATTAATACCTAAAATGTTTTATAATGCTGAAATTTAAAATACTAAAATTAGAAGTTTGATTGGAAAAACAAGAAAAAAACAAACTTGAACATTACCAATATTTTAGATTATACATTTGCATTATAATTGAATAAACAATCAAAGCATGTTAAAGAAAAAAATAAAGAAAAGAAAGAACTAAAACAAGGAAACAACAAAAAGAGAAAACAATGAAAAATGAAAAGCCACGAAAAAGTGAAAAGCAGAAACGAAAGTGAAAAGCAAGGAAAAGAAAAGAGAAAAAAAAACGGAGTAAAGCCATAGCTCTACTAAAAAAGAAAGAAAATTGGCGGAAGAACAATGAGGGAAAAGAAAAGAAATAGCGGCATTAACCTAACCTCTAGGTGCAGCCGGTTGTACGGTATATATTACGGCCTTATTCAATCTGATTTGGCATAACATTTTGCTTTTAAATTCTTTTCATCCATTAATAGTCAACAATTGGTACTAAAAACGGGAAAAAGTATCTTTTGGTTAAACATATCACGAATTTGTTAATGTTGCAAAACAGTAAAAGCATCCACAAGTAATTGAAGTAACATTTTCGTTTTATTTTTCGGAGTTCCCAAATGAAACGTTTGCATTGTATTGTAACGGTCAACAATGAAAACAACACAATGATCAACATCAAATAGAAAATAAAACCAGAAACAAACAAACACAGAGTTAAGAAGATGTATATCAAATTGTCAATTAAAAGAGGCGTATCTTTGTAGGTTTGATTTCCTGGCTAGGACCTATAGCAAGGCATAAAACTCTTTTTCTAATTAGGACTACAATTCGATGTGATTCTACAATCTTAAATTCTTAATATTGTCATAGTGCTGATAATTGAAAGCAACGTTAGATGTTGAGTGAATATAAAAAGTTGTAAATATCTAATTAGGTTTTATTTATCTCTATTTATTCGAGTTTTATAAGGTAAAATTTTCAAAATAGGAACTAAAAGGGTTGTTTTTCGTAGTATATAAATTTCGTAAAATGCCATCATTAAAAAATTTACTGGTATTGAAGGAATTGGAGCATACTTACATACTCACATTCAGGGGTGGAGACAGGGAGGGGCTGGAGGGGGTCTCGGCCCCTGCAAGAGAAAAAATTCTTAAGTATATATTATGTATAAATACTTTTAATCTAGAGAAAATTTGTCGATATTTTAAACTTTGGTCCATGCAATGTAAAATTTTTAAGGACCGGCCCCTTAAACAATATATTTCTAGCTCCGCCACTGCTCACATTTATGAAAAACCACACGCTTTACTAATATTTAAAGTAAATTTCTTTTTCTACAAAAATAAGTGATATAAGTTCGTATAACAGAATAGTATTTGTAACCTTATAAATGGGAAAAGGACATCAATATTAGTATTAGGAGGCTCAATTCCACAAAAGTGAGTCAAATTTAAAAAAGCCGGAAAAGTGATCTAGCGGCTAACATAATTGGAAACAATATCACGGTACCGTAAATTAAGAACGGCAACTCTCCCAAATAAATTTTAAAGCTACATAAATGGCACCTACCTTCTTCCGAATCAGGTAAACGTGGCATTCTATGTTAATTAACAATGCTTCACAATGCACTGTATCACAATTATTGCAATTCATGGTTTTTCTAATTTAAAATACTATTTCAAATTTTCAATATTTTTCCTATTTTAATTTTATTCTGAAGATAAAGATTCCAATATGAAAATTGTGTGACAATGATTTCAGATTTTCAGTTACTATCGCTTCAGGTCACTATTCCAATTACAACCGTTTCAGTGACATCGTCTTAGTTATTACCGCTCCAGTGACATTGTCTCAATTACTACCGCTCTAATGACACTCCCGTGACACCGTCTCAGTTACTACCTCTACAGTGACATCATCTCAGTAACTATCACTATCGTGACACTGTCTCAGTTACTACCTATAGTGACTGTCTCAGTTACTACCGCTACAGTGACATCATCTCAGTTATTACTCTTTTTCAGTTACCACCGTCCTAGTTACTACCGCCCCGGTGACTATCCCGACAAGTAATATGACCAATTTGATCGGTGACCAACCCAACAAATGACCTCCGTCCACCGCCCCACCCCGGTGACCTCCACCACCCCACCCCGGTGACATCCACCGCCCCACCCCGGTGACCTCCACCGCCACCAACCACCACACCCACCACCCTTAGTGACCACCCATGCCCCAACCCCCAGCACCCCCACCACAACGTCCCAACCATGCCCTACCACTACCCCACCCCCAACCGTGTGAAATCTAGCGGCCACTGTTGAGAGTTTTACAATGTTGACTGCCGTTCATTGAATTGAAAACTCGGCCCGCCATTGTCAGTTCCCGACCACACTCCTACCACCGGCCTGCCGATTCCCTTCCGCCGACCAGCACCGCCCAGCCACAGGCAGAAACTCTAGCTGCTGGGAATCAGATCTGGAAAGGTAGCCACCAACCGAAATTAAACCATAGATGCTGCAACAACAAAGCCCTAGTCACCGCGATAGTCTGAATCTACTAAAGAGCAACCCTAGCGACGATTGTGAAGGCTCTAAATCAAATACAATGACGGATGTAGCCGAGGTGTACCAAAGCGGAGACCATCACCAAGCTCCAAATCTGGTCTTCGTTGGTTTCCGTGTTGGGAGGGCTGCGGTAGAATTGCGGGCGAGAAGAATGGAAACTAAGAATGGAGAAGTTGCAGCAGACGAGGGAAGCTCATCAACAGAGCAACATCGGCGCGGAGAGGCAAAGATGACTCTCTTTCTCGGTGTCTCGGCAGCGGCGGCTATTTTCATATCGAGCAACGAAGAGAGGCTTGGTTAGGAATGAAGATGATGTGATGAATGTCTGACGCGTTGATGAGTAAAAGAAAGAGACACAAGGACGTTTGGTTAGGGCATTTTAGGCTTTTCAAACATTTTAACTCACTTTTTTGTCCCAAACGAGAATTGGTCTCGTTCTTGGCAATTGAAAAGTCTACGCTAATATTGTTGTCATTCTTTCCTTATAAATCAATAAAATCATATTAAACTTCCACACTAAATGTTTCTTGTGTCATATCAAGATAAATAACATACTTAAGACTCAGGTTTAATGCACCAAATTTGTTCCTGAAATAAAAATTCAGCACATTAGTTCATTGTGATTTAAAAAATTCATCAAATTTCCATGTGTTATAATTAATCATGCGCAAAAACTCCTCAAGGAACAAATTTTGCAATTTTGAAATTACTTTTTTGATAATATGGTTGAATATGCATGTAACTTTGTCAAAATTTCTAAATTATACAAAAAGACTAACCATTTTTCATTTTTTTGGAAATTTAATTTGTTCTTGGAGGAGGTTTGGCGCATGGTTAATTATAACACATGAGAATTTGACATATTTTTTAAATCACATGGGCTAATGCGCCAAATTTATATTTCACGAGAGGATTTGATGCATTAAACCCCTTAACACTCTTAAGTTAATAACAATGAATTTATGAGTTTCATATGAAATACTAATTAAAATCATAAAAACACAATTGTTATAGCATATGTTTTTGGCTAAACACCAAATAATAAGGGGATATGCAAATGCCCGAATAGAATGTGCATTTAACTAGTTTATTGAAGTAGAGTTGTTTTAACAATTAATGAGAATACTAATGAAGTAAATAACTAGTATAATGAAAAATGTAACAACAATGCTAATTAACTAATTAACTAGTATAATGACAAATGTAACAAGAATGCTAATAAACTAATTAACTAGTATAATGAAAAATGTAACAATAATGGTAATGAACTAATTAACTAGTATAATGACAAATGTAACAAGAATGCTAATAAACTAATTAACTAGTATAATGAAAAATGTAACAAGAATGCTAATTAACTAGTATAATACTAGTTATAGTAAGTAATATATAATATAATGTTTATAGTATATAATATATAAGTATACTACTATAAGATGAGTAATACACTTATATTTTATACTTTAATATATAAAGTATATATTAAGTAGATGTAGAATGTATTTATTAAGTGGATATAATAATTGTATAAGAATTAAATATTAGAGTATAATAGAGAATTGGAGATTGAAAAATAAGAAAATAAGTATATATAAAATATAAGTAGAGAAGTAGATATTATTATGTATTAAGTATATAGTAATAGTTTATAAAGTATATTTAATACTTTATTATATAAAGTATATATTAAGTAGATGTAGTATGTATGTATGTATGTATTAAGAGGTATAAGTAGAGATTAAGTAGATAAGAAATATAAGTAATATGGTATATGTATTTATAAGTAGATAATTAATATGTAAGTAGATATAATAATTGTATAAGTATTAAATAGTAAAATAAAATATAAAGGACAATAAGAGAATTTGAGAAGATGAATATGGAGAATTGGAGATGATTAGAGAGTAGGATTTAGGTAGAGTTGGAGAAGAAGTGTGAAAAAATATTTAAAATTAGGAGTATTTATAGGTTTTTTTTAACCCCCACCCCCCCACCCCACCCCCCACCCCCAAAGGCCCCGGACCCCCTGGTACCCACCCAACAGCTATATAGCCGTTTGGGAAGTGGCTGTTGAGCCAAAAAGGGTTTTTAAAAATTAAAAGATTTTTTTTAGAAATAGGACCGTTAGGCCCGGGGCCGGGCCACCTAAACCAACACCCGAGCCCGGACCCGCCACCCCCACCAGTTCGGTGCCCGAACCGGACCCGGACCCGAGAACCGGGCCGGTTCCGGGTACAGTAACGGGCCGGGCCGGTCCCGGTCCGGGCGGCCCGAACCGGTTCCACCACTATTCAGAGCTAGTACCCTAATAGAACTCAGTTCTTTGATTCTTGATTTGCATGTCATGTACATACACTGAATCCCTTTTTGGGTAACACCAGACACCATTCAACTCTTACAAATTTAGGTGTCCACAGTTATGGGGACTTATGGGTTTCACCCGAAGGGACTGAGTCACTGAGGTAGTCGACGAGCGCAAATTCCTCAGTCTCAAACTTGTTTTTCCCATTAGTTGAATGGTTGGTAAGAACTATGATTCATATACAAACAAATATTACAGATGTCCTTACCATACATACATACTGTAATAGGAAGTGGCGCATTTCACAATTCAGAGCTAGTACCCTAATAGAACTCAGTTCTTTGATTCTTGATTTGCCTGTCATGGACATACACTGAATCCCTTTTTGGGTAACATCAGACACCATTCAACTCGTTGTATAGGTCAATCAATTAGCTATTTCAAGAGTTCAGCAGAATCTCCCATTCAAAAATAGTCAATTTGACCCAAGACTTAAACCAACCTATCTCTGATCAGTCGAATTACTGCACATTGTCACTTATCTGGCAACACAAATAAAGAACAAGTCAATATAAAGCCCAAGAAATATGAATCCATTGCTAAATTATGATAGGTACAAGCAAAAATCTGGCGATGAATTCTTGATTACTAAATTGAAATGGAAGAAATAGAAAGTAACAATACAGATGAGAGCAAATTCGAGAGTGCCTTGTCTCTCCCAAATCCCAGTCCAATCCAAGTTCTCCTCCCTTATTCTTTCCCCCTCCCTTCTATTTATAGTCTCACTTATGGGCCAGCCCAAAGTTAACTAATACCTGGCCCAGGACCTCTAATATACTATCACAATTATTAAATATTACTATAACACTCTTATTATTATTTTCTTCAGCCTAGAATCCTATCAAATTAACCAGTCTATTCCTTGCCTTTTTATCTTTTGTAGAGAGCAACAATGTCATCAGAAAACCTTTCTGTTTCCAGAAACTCATCCTCACATTGCTTTGGATCCATCTTCTCCAACTCATAATTGAAAATGGTATTGAACTAGATAATAAAGAGTAAATAAATATGGATTAGCTGAATCAAAACATGGAATCTTAACCTAGAATTCCCTTTCAAAAATCATCAAATGCATTGACTTTAGCCTAGAATTCTCTGATATACCCTAACCATAACCAAACCTTCGAGACTTCATACAGGGATATTTTGGGTATCTTAGGCTACATTTTTCACATTTGAAAATGTCAAGGGCCAATAAATGGTCGAATAGACAGATAATGAGAAACGGCAGAAGTGCTACTCAATTAGTTGACCAAGACTCATACTGATCATTCAATCCAAATAATTACAGACTCGCCTTGTTTAGAAAATTGCCAATCAGCGACATTTTCAATTTTATAAAAGGCCTACAAGTCTACAAAAACTCAGTTGTACAAGAGGATGGTATATAGGTCAGTTTGTTTGGTAGAGATAACCTATAAGCTACGTAGATAAACAGTTACATGGATTATAGATAAGACTGGATGAAAAGGCAGACAGAGAAGCTACTCAAGGACTAACAAATGCAGCTCATGGGCAAAATGATGACTTCTTGGTGTAGTGGAATAAGAAATAAACCTAATATACCTTTGAGCATTCTATAGAATTAACACCATCCTCTGTTTCTGAATCGTCCTGTGAACCAACATAAAAGCCCTTGTCATTGCTTTTTTCAGTTTTAACAGCAGGATTTTCACTTTCTATAGGCATCTTGATTCCAGCTAAATCCAGTCCCTAAATCAGATAGATGTAGCATTAAGAAGGGAATGTTCATACATGTGCCCAAAAAAATACTCCGTATTGAAAATGGTATTGAACTAGATAATAAAGAGTGTTATTTTGAGTTGTCTTCCAGCTCAGGTCTCCAGTTTCATCCACAAAGGATGAATATACCACTAGAGGTCTCAAGGGGGAAATTGGGCAACGACCTACAACCTTAATTTCCGGCTAATATACCCGGACGTCCACAGAGGAGGAAGAGGTTCTGATTTTGGGATTTAGGTTTCGGCCAACCCATCGTAATAGGAGAAACACGGCTTAAATAGGGACAAGCACAAAGAGACGTTGAAGGAAACTTACCATACCCAGAAAAGGATATCGTCGAATATCTCACAAGCCAGAAGGAAAGAATCGCGTGCAAGGAAGAAAGCCGTTCAAGTGAGATGCGTTGCAGATGGATGGATTAAAACAAAAGATGGGCTGGGTAACCAAAACTATATTGGGCTTAGAGGAAAGTAAGTGGGCCAATGCCAACAAATTCTCCACCTTATTGGACCCTAGTGGCGTAGAGTTAAAAAAAAAACTCTAAAACATACATGAGACTCATCATCGCTGGATTGCCCGAATAATCACAAAGACATATTCAGGCAAAAGGGGTAAGATCACCAGGCAACTTATCCGCAATCAATGTTTAACGTGCGTTTGCACGACAACAACTTTTCGACAGAGAGACATTTAGTCCCCATGTCAGCAGGATTAAATTCCGATGGAATTTTAATCAACTTGATATGACCTGCACTAACAATATCACGTATAAAATGAAATCTAACATCAATGTGCTTAGTTCTATCATGAAAAACAGGGTTTTTACACAATTGAATAGCAGATTGACTATCAGAAAACATACAAATATCCTGCTTAAGGCTACCAATCTCCGTTAGGAGACGTTTAAGCCAAATGGCTTCCTTAAACGCTTCGGTAGCGGCCACATACTCAGACTCGGTGGTGGATAGGGCAACTATGGGTTGAAGTTGAGATTTCCAACTAATGCACGACCCGCAAAGGGTAAACACATAAGAGGTAGTGGATTTCCTATTGTCTCTATCATTAGCAAAATTCGAATCCACATACCCACTCAACTTAACCCCCTCAGAACATCTAGTGAAAACCAACCCATGATTAACAGAAGATTTCAAGTACCTAAGCAACCACTTAAGAGCATTCCAATGATCTAAACCAGGATTAGACATATACCTACTCAAGCAACTAACAGCATAGGCAATGTCGGGTCTAGTACTCACCATGAGATACATCACGGACCCAATAGCATTGGAATAAGGCACAGATTTCATTTTAGCAATTTCAGGAGCAGTCTTAGGAGACTGATCCTTACTTAACACAAAGTGAGACGCCATCGGGATAGAAACGGGAGTAGCAGAATGCATGTTATATTT